TTGATTTGACATTATGTTGGTTTGACCTTAATGCAATATGTCAATCTAACCTCGTTCTTTCTTCTGTAATGTCAGTTTAGCTTAAGGCAGCACAGCACAGGCCTTATATTTGCGTGACATCATTTGTTTTGTTTTTACTTTTACAGCCTCATGATGGAGCACACTAAGTGTTTGTGTGTTTGCGAGTGCGTCGGGTGCAGAGCATTGAAGAGGTCAACTCGTTTATGTGAATGTCTCATATGCCTCCTTATTAAGTATGCAAGTTTGTTTAAGATAATTTAATTGAAGTTAACTTTAGCCGTACGGATTTTATTTGATTTGTTTTTCTCAATTAGAGAGATTATTGAAGCTCCCGAAGACGACGTGCACGAGTGCTTTCTAAGATGCAGCTGCAGAATCTGCGAAGGCCTAAGAAGAAAAGTGAATGAAGAAAATTGCGACTGCTTAGCCTGCAGTATGTTCAAACCTATGTAGAATAAATAACCCACTAAGTAAAAATGTGCTTTTTTAAGTTCCAAAACAGACCTTTGTATATTTTTACATACGCAAACAACAACACAACGCCGCACAAATCCTATCTCTAGCCTCCACGTTGGCGTGCGGTGGAAACCTTTTCTGCATTTCTTGCGGAAAAGGGCCAATAGAGAAGGTGAATAGATATTTAAGGAAAATTCTGAGTCACATAACTAGATGAACCAAAATGCCACGAGTGTAATGCAAGAATGACCTCAAATCGATTTATCTTCAACCGAAAAAAGTTAACCTGACTTCAATCTGACTTGCGTCATTCGTGCTCAATTTATACTAAGAGAGTTGCCTTCTTTCTCTCAGTTGTCCTCTGACCAGCAGACAAATCGGTTCGCAGACTTTCAGTTTCAGTGAAGTCAAAATAACTTAACGAGGCAAGGGTTCTTTTTTAAGCTAGAATGACTTTAAGTCAGAATGACCTTTGGTCAGATTAAAAAGACGTTAAAGTTAGGTTCACTTCAGAAGTTTTGGTAGCATATGTGCATTTGACCTAGCAGATAGGTCATTGATACCACCAAAGGGATGAATTTGCTCCAGACTTTTGAATTCAGAATATAAAAAAATGACAAAAAACTTCCTTAAGAAAAGGAAATTTTTTTGTCGTCGCAAAAGGAGTGAAAGGAAAAGAGGCAGATCAATGAGAACTTTTTCTCCCGTATCAAATTCTTAAAATTCTTGCCAATGCAAAGTTGTCTCAATTACAGATGTCGTCCATACAAGATTTACCAGACGAGCTATTGTTAAAGATACTGAAATATTTAGACGTTAGTACGCTGCTCCACCTTGTGTTTGTCAGTAAACGGGTTAGGAATGCTGCTTTAGACAAGTCTGTTTGGAAGCACAGAAGAATTGTAATTCTCCCGCTTTTGCTAACGTCTGAAGATGATGCCCTAAAACTTCAAGAAAAAATTGAAAAAATTTCGGGAAGGTCGCCCCTTATTTTTTGGGGGGAATTTCATATGAGCTTAGAACTGTTAGCTAAAACTTGTAGAAGAAGATTTCCAACCTCTGAATTTTATCCGTTACTGCCATGAAAAAAACAGACATGTAACTAAATAAATAAAGTGTATTTCATCATGCAAACTTTGACTTTTTTGGACCTTTTCAAAACACGACCTTACTCTGCACACGCTCACAAAAACACA